TAAAACTGCCTTTCTGGAAAACGCAAGTCTACAACAAAGCCCATGCTGCCCCAGCAAGCAGGAATTTCTAGCAAATAGGAATGAAGCTATTTGCATTTCTAGTTTAGCGGGGGTTGGGGGTGGAGGAGGAGACTAAGATGACTGCTGAAGTAATTCACATATTGTCCAAAGGCTGTATAGACAGTACTCATCAGTCACCTGCTCAAACTTCCTTCACCCCTGCCTTCAGAGAAGGACCAAAGGTTACCCTGGGTCAGAGGATCTGGAAAGAAATGAGAAGACGTGCAAAATCTAACCTAACAGCCAACCCATAGCATCTGTAGACAGTTATTCCCACTAGACCACATGTCCTAAAAACAAAGACATTTTAATAGTCTCATGAGGACTTGTTAAAATATATCACAGAAAAGCCTAGAGAGAAGAAAAATCTCTAGCTTTTCTTAGCAATTATGGCAGTATTTAACTGAAACAGTTAAAACCTAGAAGGACATTTGCTTTTCAAAATACTTTGCATCATAATAGCTGTCTCATCTGCACAAGTTAAACATTTGTTTCAAGCTGTCCAAATGAAAAAGAAATTATCAGCTGTTTCAAATTTCATGGCTTTTGATGCATTTGGGCTGATAGCAATTCTAATCATTTCATTTGATACCAAAGAACACTGAATATATTAAGTATTAGATATTAATCTATGCTTTATCATAAACCATATTACAAACAAAAATCTAAACAAATACAAAAATGTTTGGAAGCCTTCTGGTGGAACTAATAATTAAACCTTGAACTTTTTAAAAAGCTCTACATGTGTATGTTACTTTTGACTCATGATAAATACATAAACAGCAAAAGTGCTGTCTTATGTAGTAACTTTACAAAAGTAGAGGGGAAAATTAGAATAAAGTTATGTTCCTAAAAATTGCAAAATTATAATTTTAAGTATTTAGAGAGAGGGCTGAAGTATGAGTTACAGAAACCACGCACTCTTCTGTGCTTATCTGAACAAAGAGCAAAATCAGCCATCATTTCTAGTTTCATTTAAAAGGACAGAATGGCATGGGGAAGTAGGGATCATTTGTTTACTCAATGGAAATTTTCAAATATTGGGGTGGGCTTCTAAAAGTTGATGGAAAAGTGTAATTAAAAGATAATAGGATTTTTCCAGTAAAGCTGTCTGAAGCCCCCTCATACTTTTCAAAAGATAAATTTTGAATCAGTTAAGAAGGAAAATGTTATATAGGTGGGATATTTCAAAATAATAAAAGACACAGAAAATGACCAATTAGAACTGTTATTTCTTAAATGACCAAAAAATTAATTTTAAAATCCACTCCCTTAAAATTTTAATTAAGAAAAAACTTAACAACACAAATAATCAGCATTCAAAGACAAAACTAACAGTATCCAAGATTATGACATTTAGAGTCCATTTAAAAATTTAACCTTAGGAATAAATTCCCATTACTATAACTTAGGAATTAGAAACAAAGAAAATCTAATATGCTAGTTCTGCCAAACAACTGACTTGAGTTGACAGCAACTATTTCCCCCCACCGCCCCCCACTCAAATATTTATTATCAGAAATGGTTTACAAAGCTATGAAGAAAATGCTATCTGCAATATTAAAGCTGTTTCCACCAAAGGTGGGAGCAGGGACCCAATAAATGCAAAGGTTTTAATCAAAGAGTTACTGATAGCCTCTGGTGCACAGGATGGAAATGTTTGCCAAACCTTCCAGATTCTAGGTTTTCCCCTCCTCCAGAGTTCCCTTTAGAGGAGAGAAATTAAAATTCCTCTATACTCTAGGGATTCTGCAACTCTATACTCAAAACATCTGCAAGTTTGCTGCAGTCCTTCCTGGGTTATATGGTCCCAATTGCTTCAAGAATTAATACGTGAAGACTCTTTACAAGTGGGTGGGGGGAGTCATTCATTTACAATCAATGAAGCATAAAGTGTAAAAGTTAAATGTTTAAAAGTGAAGTTAATTCGTTATTGTTTTACAAAGCATGTAAGTTCAAAAATTAATACATATGCTTACTTTAAAAGTATTCAAGTAGCTTTAAGGCAGGTTAGAATGGTTTATATAGCATTTTACAAAAACAAAACAAAAAGCTGTGAAAATACCATAAAGTTTTAAAATTTTAATGTCGAGGCAAAGATTTTTAAGGAATTCTCTGCTTCTGGTTTTCTCATAAAATTAAAAAATGTACATTTATGTTGTTCATAAATAAAATTATGAAGCAAAATAAAATCCATTTGCTTATAACTTGCCCAAATAAAGCTGGGAAAAAGATTTTTTTAAAATAGCAGTTCCAGTTTTGATGCTAAATTGTCTTGGCTCTTCCATAAATGAAATACCTGAATTTTAAATAAATTACTGGCTATAAACTCTTCTACTTTCATATACAGGAGGCATAAAACCAAAAAACCAAACTCAATGCCATTGGGTCAACTCACTGAGGCTTTAAGAGAGCTGATTCCTTCATCTTTCTCCTGCGGAGCTGCTGGTAAATTTGAACTACTGTCCTTTTAGTTAGCAGTCCAACACTCATCCGAAAGCACTCAGAAAGGCTCCTTGGAAGTGCAATATGAGAGAAACTGTTTGCTTACAAGATATACCTATATTTCTATCATTCCTTCAAAATTAAAGATAGAATATACTATGGGTGGCATAAGCACAAGTTGAAAACAAAAAGATCAAATAAATGATTCAAAAGGGAAATTGACAATGGGACTCGGTCTCTTCAAACTGCCCAGGGTACAGCAGCTACTCTTTCTCACCAGACAGCATGGGCACGTCTCCTAAATCACTCTGGTAAGCTGGGATTCCACTACCCAGAAGGAAAAGGCTTTGAACAACTACAAGAGCAAAGAAAAGACGGTCTAACTAGACAAGAGCCTAAAAGCCACATGGCTTGCTGAAGCAACATTTTCTAGTCAAGGTATGTTGATCATTTTTCTTACCAAAGATAAATTGAGTAAGAATTTTGTTGTTTCTGATTACAGGATAATAAAAATACAATAGTTAAAGTTTTAAAGTAAATACTTTATTATTACTATGCTTGAAAATAAAGCTTTTTAATGTATGTCAAATCAAGTTCATGGATGCTTCACTACACTTTAAGAAAGTATGCAACTGACTTATCTTTAGTCATTAATTATCTGTAAGTTTTACATGAATTTTGGAAAATTAATTATACCAAGGTTGTAAAATAAACCTTTCCAGTCTATCTATGAGATATTCCAAATAAATGAAAATCACTTTAAATATTGATTTAATATTTTTACCTTTGAAATTATGTATTAAAGTCAATAAACAGTATTTCTGTAAGCTTCAAATAAAATATTTAACATTAAGAAGCAAATGAGTGAGAAATTTGTGCTTTTATGACAATAGGATGATGCTCTGCAACAAATCATTAAAAACGGGAACACCCAAAGAGAAAAAATAGGAAAAGGTGATTATCAGATAAGTGGCAAAGGACGATCAATGACCAAAATTTATGAAAAGAAAAAGACTTAACCTCATTAGTATTTTAAGAAATGAAAACGTTAGTATTTTTACAATTAACAAAATGTAACAAAGATAACACCTAACTTTGGGGGGAGAGGATCACTAGTGTATATTAGTGTATCTTTCTGAAAAACTATTTCTCAGTTTTAAAAACATATTTGTATTATCTGACCCAGTGAATTTACTCAGATAAACTACAATTTTACACCTTGGCAACATGTCCACCCTTCCTTTATCTCTATTCTATCTGGCAATCCAAATCCCCTCTTAGAATTTCAGCACATACTTTTTTGCGTGTGAAGCTTTCCTTTACCCAACCACCCCTTCCCCCAGCTCAGACAGAATGCCTGTGGGCCATCTTGTTAGCTAACAAACATCTCTATTTTTGCATTGCTAATTTTGTTTTTAAACAAGTCTACTCCTCCCACTCTGGACCAGTAGATGTATTTCTTGAGGGCAGACACCATACTTTATTATCTTAGTATTAATTACTTGCACATAGACCTATAACATACTGAGTTTTACAGAATCAACTATTAATATGTGCTTCCTAGAATTATGGCCAGCAGAGAATGGGAATTACAGCTGACAAAGTACTGAACTCAACTCACTACCATGGAGTCAATTCTGACTCATAGTGACCCTATAGGACAGGGTTGAAATGCCCAGTAAATCTCTACTGGAATAGAAAGCTTCATCTTTATTATAGTGTGCTGAGCTGCTAGTAGTTTCAACCTGCTTGCAACCCACCATGCCACCAGGGCTCCAACAGGGTACTAAGAAGTACCTAATATACATATGTATATAACATTTGTACGGCTTTAAGAATTATCTTTGAGATATGAGTAATGAAATGCCATGTATAATTTTTCATTTAGTTTGTAGTTTATCCACTATAAAAGCTGCTGAGACTCCAAAATGCTTACAGCAACAAGGTTTCAGTAGTCCAAATATGACTTTTCGCTTTGCTAATGAGTCTCCAGTATGGAAAGGTAAAGAAGTCCTGGTGGCTCTGTCAGGTAAGTGCTGGCTTGCTAAACACAAGGTCTGTGGTTCAAAACCACCAGATACTCTTTGTGAGAAAGATAAGGCTGTTTGCTCCCATAAAGATTCATAAAGCCTCAGAAACCCTACCTGGGGTGACTATGAGTTGAAATTGACTTGATGGCAGTGGGCTTGGGCTTATGGCATGGTATCATTTAGACTATGCTACTGGGAAGCCAAAATACGCCCCCCCCAATCAATGCCATACAGTCAATGCTGACTTATTAGTAATCCCCCTCCCTTATGGGTTTCTAAGATAGCTCTCAAGAATTCTAATCACTGCTGTCCTTTTGCCCTGCCCTCTAGCTTGGGTAGTGTTCTAGATGTTCTATTTGTTGTTCTAGTTGGAAATGAAATCTTAGTACCATCAATGTTAACCATCATGCTACCAACAAGTTAGCACAAATTAACAAAAGAGCATGTAATTACTTATTGTCTTACCATTATCTCCTGGGTGTTGTAATACATCTCCTGTCATTCTACACCATCCAGCTGGGAAAATATCTCTAGAATCATAACTGCACCAATAGTCGAAAGCTCCACTCCAGCCATCAAATGTGATATAAATGTCATTTCCTCTCACAGCTCCAATAGTTGCAGGGCAGATGAGATAAGGGTTCTTTCTGTCTATTGCTTCAAGTTTCATTCCCACTTTAAAATTATTCTGTGCTGGCTTTGGTGGCTCCTATCAAAACATTAAAGAATAGTTTTCACTGTTAAAATCCATTAAGAATATTTGTATAACTGGATTATCAAACAACCTTTAGTGACCAGAAACTAAGTTCCATGTTTAATTAACAAATTAATATAGAAAGAAGCCATCTACACAGGTCTCTTTGAAACTCTGGAACCTGAAAGGAAGCAAACATCTTGATAGTAATTCATGCAATCATTTAAAAAATATCGACTATACACTATACATTTAGATTTAGTGCACAAAAAAAAACATCAAAGGTCTCTGCTGTGTGTGGGGCGGGGGTTGTCTTCCATTCTATTGGGGAGGTGGGGTGATAAGAGCAGTGGGACATGGGGAGCAATAAACAGTTGCTGGGCTGAAACACTGGAGAAAGTTCCCTGTCTTATAGGGTTTTTATGCATCAGCCTGGATTTGATGGCAATAAGTGTTGTCTGGCCTATGATGAAATCCATTCGTCTTTTAAGTCAAATTTGTGGGTGAGTTGCAACAGGTGCATGCAGTTCTTCTGGAGCCTTATTAAGTGAACAGAGCCTTGGGGCCACAGTGGTTAAGCATTAGACTGCTAACCAAAAGGTTGGCAGTTCAAAACCACCAGCCATTCCTTGGGAGAAAGATTTTCTGCCTTGGCAACTTTATGGGCAGTTATACCCTATCCTACAAGGGTCTCTCAGAGTCAGATTTGAGTCATGGCAATGTTTGTTTCAGTTCATGAGTCCTGGTGGCATGGTGGTTAAATGAATTGGTTGCTTAAGCAGCAGGTCATTAGTTTGAACCCACCGTCCTAAGGGAGAAAGATATGGCAATCTGCTTCCATAAAAATGAATAGCCTTGAAAACACTATGGGACATTTCTACCGTCCTATGGATCACTATGAGTTCAACTGGTGAAGAGTGGATTTAGTTTTAGGTTTAGTTCAATAAAAGACTAAAAAACATTTTAATAATTTAAAAATTTCCACATGCAGCAAGTGAAGATGATTACAATAAAAAATATGCTTCCAGTAGGGGTTGGAGATTAAATAGTTTCAATGAGGGGAAATTTACACACATTAACTTTAAATAATATTAAATTCAAACACAAATTTATGTAACATTAACATTAAATGGCAAGTAGGACTTATCCTTAAATTAAATGTGTGTAATGTAAGCTGTGGAATGTGCACACATTAAGAAGGGGTCACACAAACCTAATAAACGCACAAATTGTAGGATGTATTGAAAGGTGATTACATCCAAAGAAAGAGCAGCAAATAATATCCTAAAAGTATTAAATACAGAAGACCATAAAAATCATATATATAGTCTGGGATCCATTTATGCTATCCAAATCAGATACCAATAAAAAATTCTTTATTTACAAAAAGCTAAAGCATATAAATACTAACAGGTCTCATAAATCCAGGTACTATGCTAAAAACCATTTTTTCTTTCAATCTGCCTTTTATCCTTGTAAATGGTACCATCATCAACAAAGTCACCCAAGCCAGAAGCCTGGAAGTAGTCCTAGCCCAGGGGTTTCAAACACCAGTGCACATTCGAACCACCTAGGGCCAGGGCCACACTACCAGCAATACTGATTGAATAGGTCTGAGGTGGGCCTAGACAGCAGCTTGTTTTATATCCCAGGTGTTTCTAATGTGCACCCAAGACTGATACCCACTGCTCAAGACTCATTCCTTTCATTTACTGGACACATCCAATTAAAAAAAAAATCACAATCTGCCAATTGTATCCCAACTAGCTCTCAAGAATAACATTGACAGATAACCTTTAATTACTATTTATTATGTGCTAGGCACTGTGTAAATATTTTACTAATTCATTTTAATACTCACACAACTCTTTAAGGTCAATGTGATTACTTACACACACACACACACACACACCCCTGTTCTAAGTATTACTGAAGGTCCTGGGCATCTCCAACTTCCCCTCTTTAAATCCCAATTCTCTTGGCCCCTTGGAAGGCTCTCCATGAATCTTCCCCAGTGTTAGGCCCACATCAAAGAGCTGCTCTAACCTTCATTTTGGAAATCAGTGTTAAAATGTGTGCGCTCTTTTATGAGTCTCAGATTTGTAAAGGCATGTTATATCTTATTCATATACAAGGGGTCCTCAAAAGTTCATATCAAAATACAATTTTAAAATAATGGAATTTTTCTGTGAATTGATGAAGTCCACTTTTTGTTGATTCCAGCACGATACCAAAAAGAGGCATTTTCTTAGAATAACTGAACCAAGAAAATCACCTCAAAAACAGTAAACAGTCCATCAATTTTTTTCAAACAATTTTTCTACCATAACTAGAAAAACACAACTGGTGCGTTGATCCTTTTTAAAATGTCCCTTAAAACCTAGTGCATTGGGTTGCTAACTGAAAGGTGATTTGTTCAAAACCACCAGTTGCTCTGGGAGAAAGTCTGGACTTTCTATTCCTGTAAAGTGTTAGTCTCTGAAACTCACAGGGTCAGTTCTACCCTGTCCTATAGGGTCATTATGAGGCAGCATTGACTGGAGAGCAGTGAGTTTTGTTTTGGTCTGTTTTAAAACCTAGATTATCATTCTGTACTTTCCCACTGGTTTCCTGTTGAACCTTTACAATTATTACATTAAATACTTGTTCAAAGTTGGCGTTCCCCATTAGGCTATGTGTGCCAGGAAGAGAGAGATGTGTGGTCTGTACTGCTCAGGCTTTCAATACACTTCAGTCATGGCAAAACCAAAACAGACCCAAATTTTAACTATTTGGATGCTTCATAATACTACCTGGAATGGGAAAAGCTATGGGGTAGAAGCCTTGCAACAGGAGACTTGGAAGGGGCATAGTGAGCCTGTGAGGAGCCTGATGTGGGCGATTGGATTGCTGCTAGTATCATAAAGTGACATTCAAAACAGCAAAGTCTACCACCTTCTTTGAGTGGATACCATTGTTGCCTACTTAGTTTGGTCATAAAATTTGGCTGTTATGGAATGGGCACACTGCCACTGTTTTCTAGGAGGGAGATGAAATATCAAATAGGGGCTTCAATTTGTAATTCTCCTGTTCCATTAGCAATCCAGTCCACCGCATTTTAAATTTTCGAGCCCACTCGAGTATCAACAACTGACTGTGCTGAGCTGAAATGGCTCAAAGTCCTATTCCAAACAAAGTAAATAAAAGCGCTTTCCCTCAAAACCAGCCACCTCCAGATTAAGGTAACTGACAAAATGGTTCCCCCTGCTGTCTACGAATGGTAGTAATCTAAAGTTGCTTTCAAATATTTTTTTCCCCAAATCATTTTATTGGGGGCTCACACAACTTTTTTACAAATTGTTTTATTAGGGGCTCATACAACTCTTATCACAATCCATACATACATCAATTGTGTAAAGCACATTCGTACATTCGTTTCCCTCATCATTCTCAAAACATTTGCTCTCCACTAAGCCCCCATCATCAGGTCCTCATTTTTTCTCCTCCCCGCCTCCCTCATGAGCCCTTGATAATTTATAAATTAAGTCTAACATAGCACAGAGTAGAACTTTGCTGATTTCTGAAGCTGTAGCTCTTTATGGGTGCACAAAAATCTGATCTTTCTCCCATGAAGTGGCTGGTACATTCAAACTGACGACCTTATGCTTAGCAGCCCAATGTATAACCCATTATGCAAACAATGGGTTAACATTTAAACATCTAAAGGGAGAAATTCAATAAATTCTTATAATCCATACTAGAGAAAAGTACAATCACCTGAAAAATACATGAAATGAAATGGAAAAATAATAATATATCTATTAGCGGAATAACTAAATTACAGAATGTTTAATACATTTCCTTAATAGTTAAGAAACCCAAGTCTCATGTTTGTGAATGTAAATTAAACATAGGTCTGGAAGAGTGACACATTTGGAAAGAGTGAAAGGGAGGAATAGAATGGGTAAAAAGATTCCTTTTTCATTCTATTGAAGTATGTAGTTTGATCCAGAAATGAATTGCTTTCATAATTTAAAAAATTTAAAACTTGATAATATGTGCAACATATGGCATGTGACTAGATGATAAAACGACGTGGCTAATAAAATATATCCAATGGCTAACAAGTGTTCACTAAATAAAGCCTACCGTGAAACATTTATTTATTACTAGCTATTTTCACATTTGTTTTACACATTGAACAAAGGGCTTGCATTTACCTTTGTCCCTTTGTGGTTGGGCAAGCCCACTCTTTCAGCATCCATGCTACTCAAAACTGCATTTAAAAGAAATATACTTTCTTTCCAAAGCAGAAGTCATCTTAAATTGATGTTTCCTATACTTATGCATTTAATGTTCTTAAAAAGTTTTTTTAACTACAATAAATTCTTACCATTCTCAATTTGAATACCAAACCAAACCCACGGCAATTTTCACTGTTTCCTGATATAATGTACTATTGTCAATATCTTCTCAAAAGCATAAACCATTTTCCACTTTTCAAATTGCAAGTATTTTCCTATTAACAAATTCTTTCTGAGAAGATACCTATTTTAAAAATATTGGTTCACTTGTGAAGCCTTATCTTCCCAAGTACTTTTTTTCAAATAGATTTTGGGTGAATCATTATTTTCTCCCACACCACATATACAGTGAGAGGAAATGTCAGTTCTGAAGTTAGATAATAAAAAATAGCAGTGAATAGGTTTTTTTCAGTAGAGTACCCTCTCCAAATCTAAGATCAAGGAAAAAAACAAAACAAAAATCCAAACTCATTGCCATCAAGTTGATGATGACTCAGATCAGGGTAAAACTGCCACTTGAGTTTCTGAGACTATAACTGTTTATGGGAATAGAATGCCCTGTCTTTCTTCCGCAAAGCAACTGGTGGTTTTAGACTACAGATCCTACCCCAACACGTAACCACTATGCCACCGGGGGTCCTTTAAGGTCAAGAAAGGGGTTAAATTAATTTCAACTAGTGGGTCATATTTTACTATGTCAGAGAAGACAAAGCATTTAAGCAACTTCATTAAAACAATAAAGCCACTCTTACCTTCTTAAATAGTGTCGCAGCTGCCATTTCAGATCCACTTAGTGTTCGTAAGAGGAACATTGGCCAAGATGATACATTCATCTGGTACCCTATTATATTAAATAAATCATATATCATGACAAAGCCTGATATTACAGCAAATCTAGTATAAAAAACAGATGTCATTCATCCTACTTCTGTAGAGAATGACCTTCTTATGTGAGAATGCTGGAGATGGGAAAGGTGAAAGCCTACCTTCCACTCAGCACTACTGCTTCCACTATACTGTTTGCCAACAATTCTACAGTGTAAGCAGAAATTCTCATTTAAAAGAGGTCAATGAGTGTGGCTCACTAACAGGCAAACATGTTGGGAATGGGTCAGAATACTAGAGGTGATCTAAGCCACAGCCCAGAAGAGCTTCCAACAACCACTTAAATAGAAAAAAGGCTGCAGACTTCTAGCCCCTGCTTCCTTACAGGCCATGTTTTTTTCCCTTCAGAAAAAGAATGTTCTGTCACTACTCAGTGAGCATATACTTCCAATGGTGCCGCTGTATATAAACTTTACCACTAAAGAGAAGCAAAGTTGTAAATAAACATTAAAATCAAGCTAATGATAGGATCTTCAAAACATTCACAGAAATGTGCATTATAAAAAAAGCTAAATAAGTTCCCCCAAAATTGCACAAAAATAAAATTATACTAACTTATTACAATATATATGAACAGGATCTAGTTTGAGTCACTGAGAAGGATAAAGACATCAGTTTGAAAAGAGTCTCTATCACAACAACATGAATTCTGCTAAAATAGAGGAGTAAACCATCAGATTTATGGTGAAGCTTGGGTGGAAAAATGGCAAAATCACTGAAGCTTTCAAAAAAATTTAAAGGGACAATGGACAATAAAATCAGCTATAGTAAAATGACAATGGTATTAGTTTTCATTGTTTAGTACTGTTGAGTTGATTCTGACTAATGATAGTCATATACATACAACAGAATGAAACATGGCCTTGATGGTAAAGTCTAGGTAGTAGATATATGGATACCCTTTGTAAATTTCTTTCACCATTTCTGTATGCTTGAAAATTTGCATAACATGTTAGCAAAAAAAACACCTCACTTTCACATTTAGATACATGCTGGACATGATATTATTTTAGAATTTGTATGTCACTCAGGGGGTGCCCTTTGTCATGATGAGGGTCACAGCATCTGGCACATGCAGTAGGGAGCAGGGGTCTGCTAGTTTTATCGTTTGGGGGAAGCACTCTCTTTCATGAAGCTCTGGCTTACTTTGATGTCAGAACTGGAGAAAACCTGCCATGCACCCTGATGGACAGAAGCATTAAGATTGGGAGGTACATGAATGACTAACAACAAGCCCATCAGTGGGACACAACCTAAAAAGAAAACTTAAGATACAAAGTCCTTCCATTATAAGCTTGTATCAAAATTACCATCATCAGATTAGAAAAAGAACTGGTGGTTCATTATGCATCTCTTAGAATAAAGCATTATTACTCTTGCTGTCTAACATTTACCCACATAAAGAATTTTCCCATTCTGATTAGAATACTGTATACAAATCATTTTCTTGTCCTAATGCCATTCTTTTAGCTTCCATCTTATCCTATTTCATCATGCATCATGATTTTCTTTAGGGTAATGTTTTTCTTAGTTTTATAATACCCAAAGCCAGACATAGACCAAAAGGTATTAACACACAAAAATAGATGTAAGAAGTTCAAAAGCAGTCAAAACTAATCTGTGATGTTAGAAATCTGGACAGTAGTTAACCATTGTGGAGGAAGAACCATTGTGGAGGAAGAGAGGACAACTAGAAGGAATGCTTCCAGATACTGATAACACTCTAGTTCCTCATTTAGGTGTTATTTATACAGGCATGGCTCATTTTGGGGCCTTACTTTCATGATTTATACACTTTTCTGTCTGTATTATAAGCCTCTAAAATCTTTACCAAAAAAGCCTTTAAGGTTAAAGAAAAAAAAAAAAGGTATAAGTTAAAGAAGCTAATGAATAAATTAGCAAAGGTTAATACATTGTGTTTTAAGTACTGCCAAAATAGATTCGAATCAGAATATATTTATTTCATTCATAGTTTTTAAATTAATAAATTCTAAAGAGTAATTTGGAAAAAAAGATAATGACCACAAATCTGGCTGTATTTGAAATTCTGACAATCACAAAAGCTATTCCCTTTAAACAAAATGCAAAAGCTTATAATCATGTTCCAAACATCTTATACAATCTATCTAAACATGGAAGCACTGAGCACCAAGTTTACACTTACATCTCTTATAGGATTATGCGATCCAATAAATATTTAAAAATAAAAAACAAACAACTGAGTGATATGAAGGAAAAGGTGGCCGAAAGCACATGTACCCTGTATTTGTACACCATCTTCTTGGAGTAACACAGCTCCTATTATTTTTTAAATATATTTTAAACCAAAATGGCATAAATAAATATTAGCATAAGAGGAGGGTAGGAAGAGGAGTATAATAAGACAAAAAGTGGCTATTATTAATATTTTAAATTTCTGGTTCTCAGGGAATTTTTTACTAGTAGGAAACAAACAAAAAGACTCTATTCTTTTGCTGAGTTGACAATAAAGAATTTTCATTTTCAGCATAGTAAGCAAGAACCAGATACAAACAAATATCCATGATTCTCTGAGGAATGTATTAATGATAAAATCAACAAGATGACCTATTTTAGACTATCATTTTATAGACTGTCTGATTTTCAAAAAGAAAACTCTTGCCCCAAATGGGACACATAGTTTTTAACCTTTAAAAAATGTAGTCAAAATTGAGAGCTACATGCTTTGGACCTAAAAGCCTTCGCTGGCAGTTTCTTACTCCTCTTTCTTTTCAGAAACCTAAAGGCACTTGGTTCACTGCTTCTCCCAACTACAAGCCTGATGAGATACCTGGATATATAGTTATCAGCTCTCCCATCTCGAAAATGCTGAGTGGTTCAATGGACGGTTTCCAGAGAAAAATACATTATTAAGTGCTACAAATTTCTTCCCTGGAAGGGATTCCGAGTCTGAATATGTAACCTAGAAGAGCTGTCTTTGACATTTCGGATTTGAAAACTTTGCGTGAGTCTTGTTGTAGAGTGGCAACCTTCAGCAACCATCTGAGAAATGTGTACTTTAGTGTTATTTCACAACATATGGTGCTGAGTTCTTTCATGATGCATTTTCCACAGTAACCACTTGACTATTTGTAAGAATTTTAAGAGATTTTTTACAAAGCCACTTAAAACTATTTCTATGAATTATTATGTTATTAAGAATATGGTCTTTAAAAATGGTTTATCCTTACCCAGGGGAGGCTGAAGTAAGTCCCCATCCTTTTCACATGTTCCAACAGGCTGTATGTCCGGGGAATCAACAAGTCTCCAAAAATCATTACGGTTATCACTGCCGTCCAGTCTTAAACGTAGCCTGGCACCAGTAATTCCAACGACTGTGGCAATACAAACTGACGTAGTATTGCGAGGGTCACGAGCTTCCAATTTCATACCAACTTTGAAGTCATTATCTGGTGCAGTTGTGGACTATATATACATAAATAAGATTTTGTTAAAAAGTGTATCTTACGGGAAACAAAAAGTATTCCCCAGAATACTTGGGGAATGTTTTAATTAACAGTGACAGCATATGATAAGTGAGATAAATATCATAAGGGTCATTGAAGAGATTTTTTTCTAAGCAGTCTCCTTGGCTTAACTCATTCACTATCATCCAGTTGATTCTAACTCATAGTGAACCTATAGGACAGAGTAGGACTGTCTTTGTGGGTTTCTGAGACTGTTAACTCCTTGTGGGAATATAAAGCCTCATCTTTCTCCTGAGGAGTGGCCGGTGGTTTCAAACTGTTGACTTTGCAGTTTGCACCCCAATGCATAGCCCACTATGCCACTAGGGCTACCTTCTCTTAATCATTATCATCTCATTGCCATTCGTTAATTCTGACTCCTAGTGATTCTACAGGATGGAGGAGAATTGATCCTGTGGGTTTTGGAGACTGTGACTCTTTATAGGTGTAGAAAGCTTCACCTTTCTCTTGCCGAGCACACTGGTAGTTTCTAACTGCTGACCTTGCAGTTGTCAGCACAATGCTTAACCCACTACGCCATCAGGGCTCCTTGCTTAGCTTTAATAAGTAGTATTAACCACTCGTCTCCCCACATCCAGACAACCCAAATACAGCCTCTAAAATGCATCCTGAGTGGCTTTCTAAAGCAATTCACTAACTCACTGCCATCGAGTCAAGTCTGACTTACACTGTCTCAATAGGACAGGGTAGAATTGCCCCTCCTCTGGGTATGAGACTGTAATTCTGTATGGAAGTAGAAAGCCTAGAGAATCTAATTAAACCACTCCATTCAAATCAAGTCAATCAGCAGCTCACCAATGATTAATTATTCAATTTCTCTGCACAGTTTACAACACACCTTTAACCTTGTTCCCACACTATCACTTCTCCCCACTCTGTGCTGCAGTCACCCCAAACCATCCCTCAATACTCAGGCTTTCCTACCCATGTGTATATGCTTCAGGTGGTCTCTCTGCTTTGAATATCCTTCCCCTCATCCCATCCATCTGTGATCCTTCCCAGTATATAACATTGTCACACTACCAATAAAAAAGGTATCACACTATATTCCTTCCAGATGGGCAGTCATAAGGGCTTCATATTCTTTTTTGTATACCTGACAGAGTAAATTCTTCATGACCGAATGCAAAGAGATCATCCGGTGTCTAATTGGCCCTACTACAATTCCACTCATACCACTAGAATCTAACAATCACATGGAAACCTTTCAACAAGTTTACATTAATAATAAATTTATAATATATAAAAAATTTGACATACCTGTCTGAAAAACTCTGGAGGAGCACTTACAGATCCAGTCATTTTCAAGTAAACATCCCACTGGAAGTCATCTGGAAGGGGGTGAGTAGGAAAATTGCTCTTTAAAATATATACATATATATCTTTCAGAAATAATGTGGATTTTACTTCCATAGATCTCAATAAATACTTCCTCGAAAGCAATTTCAAACATCCATTAGTTGCAGAGAAATAAAAAGTCTTACACCTTCCGTGTAATATGAATCTGATATAAAAGTACAAACTAGTTCTTTTTTTATTTTTTAAAATAATTTTATTAGGGGATCATACAACTCATGACAATCCATACATACAATTGTGTAAATCACATTTGTACATCCATTGCCTTCATCATTCTCAAGACATTTGCTCTCCACCTAAGCCCCCCGGCATCAGCTCATTTTTTCCTGCTCCTCCCCGCTCTCCCCTCCCTCATGAACCCTTGATAATTTATAAATTATTATTTTGTCATATCTTACACTGTCTGATATCTCCCTTCACCCATGTTTCTGCTGTCCGTCCCCCAGGGAGGAGGTTATATATAGATCCTTGTAATCGATTCCCCCTTTCCAACCCACCTTCCCAGTATCACCACTCACACCACTGGTCCTGAAGGGATCATCCATCCTGGATTCCCTGTGTTTCCAGTTCCTATCTGTACCAGTGTACATCCTCTAGTCTAGCCAGACTTGCAAGGTAGAATTGGGATAATGATAGTGGGGTAGGGAGGAAGCATTTAGGAACTAGAGTAAAGTTGCATGTTTCATAGTTGGTTTATCGCACCCTGACAGGTTCATCTCCTCCCTGAGGCCCCTTCTGTAAGGGAATGTCCAGTGGCCTACAAATTGAGCTTTGGGTCTCCACTCCGCACTCCCCGCCTCATTCACAATATGATTTTTTGTTCTGATGATGCCTGGATCCCTTTGAAACCTCATAATCACACAGGCTGGTGTGCTTCCTCCATGTGAGCTTTGTTGCTTCTGAGCTAGATGGCCGCTTGTTTACCTTCAAGCCTTTAAGACCCCATACGTTGTATCTCTTGAGACCCGGGCACCATCAGCTTTCTTCGCCACATTTACTTATGCACCCATTTGTCTTCAGTGATCGTATCAGGGAGGTGAGCATACAATGATATGATTTTTTTCTTCTTTGATGCCTGATAACTGATCCCTTCAGCACCTCATGATCGTGCAGGCTAAACCAGCTCTTCTCAATGTAGTTCTAAACATATGGACTCTAGAAACAACTAAGGAAAGTTCTATAGAATAATAACAAATTCTACCCATTTATCTCTGATAAGAATTTACTTAAGAAATGTTTTCAGTTCTAAAATTGATATGATTTTATATTTCTCCTTGATATGATGGAACGATTGAACTATTGAAGTGAATGCTATGTCAAGGGTTTGTGAGGAGGGCTGGTAGGGAGGGAGGGGGAAGAAATGAGGAGCTGATATCAGGGGCTCAAGTGGGAAGAGAATGCTTTGAAAATGATGATGGTGCCATATGTGCAAATGTGCTTGACACACTGGATGAATGTGTGAATTGTGATGAGATGTAAGCGCCCCCTATAAAAGTATTTTGAAAAAAGAAAAAACACTTTAAAAGATTAAAAAACAAAAACAACAAAATTAAAAGTCTGCTATTTAAAAAGATCAAAGAAATGCGTTTTTATCATTTCATCCTATTAACTTGAAAACGGTTCTTGGTTTATCCTGGGGAGCTGAAAGGGGTTAGATGTGTATTGTAACAGAAATTTTGTCCCTTCAATGCTTTAAGGAAAGAAAAAGAACGTGAGATCCAAATTAAAATTCCAATCTAACATTAGATCTCTAACCAGCATGTTAAGAAGATGGTGGCAAAATAAAGCAGTAAACCAGTCATTGGTGCAATCACTGATACGGATTATTTTCACAATCTACATGTTCTACAACTTCTTACTTTTCTCTCCCTCAGTCATTATTCTAAAATGCTAGAAAAAAAGATCAGAAAGAAAGATTGCCAGACCAACACCCCTCGCCTCAGGTTCTAGCATCGCAGGCAGAGAACTGAGTGGCAGCTGCCAAGCAACCCAGCTTCCAGACAACTCTCTGGGGCCCAAGGCCCACGGCTATCAGGCAAGAACCCTCCCCACAGCCAAGATGCCCAAGAGGAAAGTCAGCTTGGCCACAGGGGTGGTGAAGGAGGAACCCAAGAGGAGATCGGACTCTCAATTTTCACTTCATTTTCAGAAGGTTTATCTGCTTTGGTTTATGGGTTTAATTTTCTGTTTGCCCCCCCCCACCTTTCCCTTTTGAACTTATTTTTATGTTTAGATTTATCCTTTCCTGCCTTTTTTGGCTTCACCTCCACTTTTTCAGGCACAGGTTTTGCTGACAACCTTGCCACCTTAAAGTCCAAGGATCCTTAATATGAGCTGCCTCATTGTCTTTTTTACCCAAAAGAGGATTTTGGTGGAGCTGTCATAATTTGGAACAATTTCATCACCCAAGCTTATCTGTAATTAGAGTCCATAAAATTAGAAAGCGGGGCAGTCTTTAGCAAAAATTAAGTGATTCTTTCATGTTCTCTTTCAAATTGTTTATGATCCTAACTTGTTGCAAAAATAGTTATTTTAACAGTTATTCCATATTTTAGCATTATAAAGTATTATTTTCTAACTTTTTTTAAACCTAAAGGCATCTTTAGCTAATTCAATTATTTTAGATATCTCTTGGGTAAAAAAATCACCTATTTCTAAAATTACAAAAACTTCCCAACCAAGAAATATCATATATACAGATAGTAAAGTGGTGATAAATGTTTTAAAGACAGCTTTCCAGAAAATACAAAAACCCTGACTGCTTGCACATTTCTGGAATATAAATACTATCATCATGGCTGACTGAAAGATGCCATGGTGAACTCACCAGCCACAAAGCTGAGAAAAATTGTGCTAACTGGTTCTCCTAACTCAGTATGTACCAGCTCCAGCATAGCCAATGTTATATATGTGTTTGTACACATTTGTATGTATGTATACACACACATATATTATATGGGATTAATCATGTCAGTTGTCATCAAATTGTTACTGCTCATGCACAATGTTTTGCACCTTGATTTTCTTTCAAGCTTAATAAATCTGAGATTGTTCCATTAAAAAAAGCACTGGGCTTGATTTCATCTCTGAATAATGTCAAGCCAGTAGTATCACAGTGTTGAAGCATGAAACAAAGTGTTAAGAATACAATGGAGTCAGACCTGTCCATTTCCACTCTGACTCTGCCTCCAACTAGCTGCATGAGGCTTTAAAAAGGTCATGGAAAAAATCCACTATCCCTTAATTCCATTTTTCCATGAACTGTTTCAAGCACACTATGACTAAGCAAGTCATTTCACTTTTTCAACTTCAGTTCCTATTACCTATAAAATGATGATAATACAGGAAGTCCTTGATTTATAACATATACAAGTTAGGATGAACTCCACTTTTGGAGAGTGCACCTTAATCTTAGTACTTATGCAGTGCATATAATATTGTAGCACATGATATGCTAATGTTATCATTCTCATGCCAACTCCCAAAAACAAAGATGAGATTTATAAAGATACTAATAATAAAAGGCAACAATGAGAAAAAAAGTCAGCTTATGTCAGAACTGACAACGGCCATAAGAACAGAATCCCATCTTAAGATGAGGGCTACCAGTAATATAAGAGGGCTTCAAAAATTTGTGGAAAATGCTCTGGTCTAGCCAGATTTATATGGTAGACTGAATCATAATGGGGGGGAGAAGCATTAAAGAACTACTAGAGAAAAGTTGTATGTTTCATCAGTGCTATACTGCACCCAGACTGGTTCATCTCTTCCTTGTGACCCTTCTGCAAGAGGATATCCAATTGTCTACAGATGGACTTTGGGTCTCTACACTGCACTCTCCCTCATTCACATTGATATGGTTTTTTCTTCTAAGATGCCTGATACCTGATCCCATGACACCTCATGATCAAACAGGCTGGTGTGCTTCTTCCATGTGGACTTTGTTGCTTTTAAGCTAGATGGCCGCTGGTTTGCCTTTAAGACCCCAGACAATATATCTTTTGATAGCCAGCACCATTGGCTTTCTTCAAATTTACCATGCACCCATTTTGTCTTCAGCTATCGTGTCGGCAAGGTGAGCATCAACGTAATGCTAGGTTATTAGAACAAAGTGTTCTTGCTTTGAGGAAGTACTTGAGCAGAGGCCCAGTGTCCATCTGTTACCCTGATACTTAACAAATAAATGCATGGTACAGATAAGAGCTGGAAACACAGGGAATCCAGGACAGATAAACCCCTCGGGACCAGTAATGAGATTAGCGATACCAGGAGGGGAAGGGACAGGTGAGGGGAGTAAGGGGGAACTGATCACAATGATCTATATATAACTCCCTCCCTGGGGAACAGACAACTGAAAAGTAGGTGAAGGAAGACATCTGTCAGTGTAAGACATGAGAAAATAATAATTTATAAATTATCAAGGGTTTGGGAGGGAGGGTGGAGTAAAGAAGGGGAAAAATTAGGAGCTGATACCAAGGGCTCAAGTAGAAAGAAAATGTTCTGAAAATGGTGGCAACAGATGTACAAATGTGCTTGACACAATGGATGAATGTATGGATTGTGATAGCTGTATGAGCCCCCAATAGAGTGATTTTTATAAAAGATGCCAAAACCACCTTTCTGAAACACACAAAAAATTTTTTTGAAAAATATTACCAAAAGATAATATCATTTTCCATGAACTTTTTGAAGCCCCTGAATAATACTGTCAAGATGAAAACTGAGTTCTTTAGGTCCAAAATTAAACTGACCAGAATGCCTCTCAGCAACTTCGTACTAACCTGACAATCAGTAGACTCAGGTTCTAATGGAAGCTCTGTCACATGATCTAGGATCACATTGAAAAAAATAACTAGACAAAAAAAATGAATAGGGGAAAAATTCTAACCAGGTTATTGTTAAGACAACACCCCAGGATGAAAGGGCTAGGGAATTAAAACCGTCTCATATTTATACCACAAAAACGAAAATAAACCTGTTATATATGTAAAAAAAATAAATGACATTAGAAAAGAATTAGTCCAGCTCCCTAACATAATTTTATATGCTTTTTAAATATCTATCCCTATTTAGGAGTCCTGGTAGTGTAGTGGTTATGCATTGGTTGGCCTGCTAACCGCAAGGCCAGCAGATCAAAATCACCAGCTGCTCTATGGAAGAAAGACAAGGCTTTGTACTACCATAAAAAGTTAAGTCTTAGAAAATCACAGGACAGTTCTACTCGGTCCTATGGGTCATTATATGTCACAATTAACTTGATGACATTGAGTTTCATTTTTTGGTATCCCTATGGAAAAAGAGCTAAACAGTCAAAACAAGAATATTCTCAATGAAATAGATCAAAAAAGTGGCTGCAGTAATGGGTTCAAACGCAGCAAGGTTTGTGAAAGTGGAATTGGGCTGTGTAGCGTGGGCTGTTGTGATTGGAACTGACTTGACAGCATTTAACAATAATTTTTTTTAATCCCTATAATGTCTGAATGGGGCTATAAAGTGAGCTAGTAAATCCTTACACCAATGCTCTATAATGTGCTCATTTTTAGTTGCACTGTTAGCTAGTATTTATCATCTGAAGGCTTTACAGTAATAAGAATATATGAACACCAGTGTTCACTGCAGCATTATTCACAATTGCAAAAAAGATGGAAACAACCTAAGTGCTTATCAGTGCATGAATAGATACACAAACGACACATTCATACAATGGAATATTATGCAACTGTAAGAGGACCACATGGCCAGCCCCACTATGAGACATGATGTCCCTCACTGACCCATGGCCCTGCGGGGGACAGCGCCTGAGAAACAGTGTAGGAATTGCGCCCAATCTGATCCCGCCACACAGAGGCAAAACACTGGGGGAGTGCAGTGGAACAG